TTGTGACATGGATCCCAAAGATAAGACCCCTCCTGGCACAAGCACTTTGATTTCTTTTATATTTGGTTCAGCCGTGGCCGGCCAGATTTCCCCCCCCCCCTTCCCGGAAGGAGAAAGGCTACCATTTTGGAACCATTCATTCGGGTTGAAAGAGATTTGACTGGATGGGCTTTGAAATCAAAAACGTTTGATTTTCAATGCTCCTCCTCCTCCTCCTCCTCAACCTTCTTCTTCTTCTTCTTCTTCTTCTTCTTCTTCTTCTTCTTCTTCTTCTTCTTCTTCTTCTTCTTCTTCTTCTTCTTCTTCTTCTTCTTCTTCTTCTTCTTCTTCGTCTTCTTCCTCTTCCTCTTCCTCTGCTTCTTCTTCCTCCTCCTCTTCTTCTTCTTCTTCTTCTTCTTCTTCTTCTTCTTCTTCTTCTTCTTCTTCTTCTTCTTCTTCTTCTTCTTTTTCTTCTTCTTCTTCTTCTTCTTCTTCTTCTTCTTCTTCTTCTTCTTCTTCTACAAAAGATCACGACGATTGAAGAACTGATCAAATACGTTACAATCAAGTGTAGCTTGGCTGCACTCAACCAAACTCGAGGCCAGCAGTGGCTTCCTGATCAAACCGGCCAACCCACAAAATTGAGGGTTGGTCGGTTTAATCGGGGAAAATTTGAACGACATAACCGTCTAACCCACGCAGTTTCATTAAAAGCGATTTTTTAAGAAAAAAAAGGTCTACAGTTTTTCGGTAAAGTGTTTTTATAACTGTTTAAAGCATTGATTTATCGTTAGACACCTTTGTTTTGAAATAAAACAGTTTTTTCCTTCTCCTGTAAAATTTACCTCGCTGGGGTTAGCCGGTTTTATCACAAGGCCGACGAGAGCCACAGGTTAATATGTCTAGACCCCAAAAAACTACGTCCGGAAAGAGTTATAGATCTAAATATTACACGTTAGCACATTCAGAAATAGATAGAACATACTAAGTTAAGACAGATGACAATACAACATGCCATTGTTACGCTCTGAGAATGAACATGAAACTCAGCCATGATTTCCTCCCCCCCCCCCCCCCCCCTAGATTTATCAATTTCATGTACCGCCAGCGTTGTTTTGTTTTGTTGTTTGTTTGTTGTTGTTTTTGTGGGGTTCTTTTGGGGGGGGGGGGGGAGGGGTGATATCATTCCAACTAGCAAAAAGGTATTGTAAATCAACCGCCACCCCCCCTCCCCACCCCACCCTACCCCTACAGTTTTGGTCTTTCCTTTTGCCCCAATGTTTTAGAGAAGTTAGAAGCGTCGGTCGCGCTGAAATTCAAAACGCCCCACTATAGTTTTCATGGTCTAGAGGTTATGGCGTTCGCCTCTCATTCAAAAGGTCCCGGGTTCAAAACCTGACAGCGACGGAAAATGTTCTGCTCTACTCCTTTCACCTCATGTCCTGCTCTCTAATCATATTCTGTCTTCTGCTTTCGTCTCCTCTTTCTGACACCACCTCCCCCCCCCCCCTCGACCCCTCCTCTGGGCTCCTGACTCTTTCTTCAGCCTTTCTACTGCTACTCCTTGGCTCCTTCTTATTGCAGTCTTTCAACCATACTTCTGATCTTAGGGTAGGTAAGATCTAACACCTAGCCTACTCGGAAAAGGGCGACAAATCTCGGAGGTCTCGTGTCACGTTTTGCATGTTAAAGATCCCTTGTTGGTCCAAAATCGATAAGAGTAGGCTTCCGCCGTAACCCTGGCAAAATACATGTCTCCCACGCGCCTATACCACGATCTTATACAGTTGCAAGCGCCGTAAAACACTTCACAAAACAAAAACAAACAACGCCTCATATGTAACATCACAGAGAGTGCAGACCCTTGTTGTGGATACTAGGACAAAGTATGTTCCCAACAGAGGGCTCAACTTGCCTATTTTCGTGTTCTAGGTATCTCTTATTCCAATGTCAATTTGTTTTGAAGTTTTTTCATATTTTGTCTTCAATGATCAAAACATAACAACACAATGACATGATAGTGTGAGATATTTTAATTGTGGGTCGTGTTTAGGGGGTTCAATTTCTTTTTGGTGGGTGGGTGCTTTTTGTTGTTGTTGTTGTTGTTGTTGTTGTTGTTGTTGTTGTTGTTGCTGTTGTTGTTGGGTTTTCGGTTTTTTTCTTTTTTGTGTGTGTGGGGGGGGGGGGGGGGGTCAGTAATGAGTTTTGGTTGTCTTTAGATTCCCTAATCAGACGATGAGTTGCACTGCGATGTTGAATGACATAGAGATTTTATTTATTACATTATGTATTATCTATATTATATATAAAAGTGGACTTGGGAGGCTTTGTGCACAAACTCCTCCCTTATTACATAACCCACACCTTTGAAACTTTGCAGGCGTTCACAGCATCCATGTGGCTAGGACCTAACTTTAAAAAACCCATGCAAACTGCTTTCCCCAATTTTTCAAAAATGCTTTGTTTCGTCCACACAGAATCTTGGGAAAGTCCGTCTTCTAAGACGCCTTTGTAAACAAGTGAGGTTTCCGTTCACTAGCTGTGCGCCAGAAGTGATTCTACAATGTTATGTTACGACTTACTTGAGTCTTGAAGTAGTAGATCTAGATGATAGTTGATGTTGGTGGGGCCCCACCTGCTGGTCGTCTGCTAGTTCTTCGTTGGCCGATGTTACTCCCTTCGGCTTCAGTGAGAGAGTGACCTTCAGATTTCCCGCCGCTTGCACGAAATCACAGTCACGTGATACGACCCTTAGGCCTACGTCACAATAGTTATTAAGGTGTGTTCACACTACATGCCCGTCTATTCTTAAGGTGCGTTTACACCACACACAACTTTGAAATTCTGGAGTGAACAACCACGAAAGCGGAATAGAGAATCAAACATCTATTACATATTTTGCAACTTGGAAACACATGTGCCACTTTTCTCTCAAGATTTATTGCTCCATTCCAGTAGAGTGTAAATATAGTAGGCGAATGACTTTCAGTTGGTGTTAATGCACCGATCATTCCTTTCATCGAAAGGGGGCCCAGCTAGTTTGTTATATTTCTCTGACAGATCTACTAAATTGCTT